TGACGTCATCTCTTACTTTTCAATACATGATTTTTATTTCAGAACACAAATGCTTCTTTTCATCTACATCCTGCGCTAATATCAGCTTCAAAAGTTTAGACGATGAAGAGCATCTGATATTAGGTTCTGGTAGTGTTTCTTCTTGCTTTCAGATTTGGGAAATCAGTTGAATATTTCAGAAGCTTCTAAAGTTACTCATCTATCAACAGATATCACAATCCATTCAGCCAGTATGGAGGTTCTTTTGAGGAAAATTACCATTTTTGGTCCCTTAACTTTATCCTTAAGTTCAAATTGGTCCCTTAATTATTTTTGGTATCAGATTGGTCCCTTAACTATTTAAAATGTGTCATATTGGTCCTTTTTGTCTAATTAGCGACGGATTTAGCGATGGATTTTTGAATTTTTTCATCGCTAATTAGACGAAAAGGACCAATATGACACGTTTTAAAGAGTCAAGGGACCAATCTAACAGAAAAAATAATTAAGGGACTAATCTGAACCTAAGGGTATAATTAAGGGAGCAAAAAGGGTATTTAGCCTTCTTCTGACAAGAATCCTAAGTTTCTTATCATTAGTAATTCTAATGAACTTGAGCTAAATTGAGAAGGTGATTTATTGAATAATTTTTCATCATCTAACTTCAATTCTTTCCTTTGAAGACTGCAAGGCAAACCTTTAGAACACAGCAGATTCAAGATGTAAACATCCTGAATAAATGTGATCTTAGATTTAAGTCTCAAAGAAATCTTCTCAAAATTTTCTTGAAAATATTAGACGAAGTGTAATTGTTCAAGTTTCAAGAAATGACCCCCACAAATCCAAGCACAAGAATTTAAATATTTTCCAAGCATCAGATACATCAATGATGTTTACATACTCAGAAGTGAGATAGAGCATCTACCAGAATGCAACTACCTCTGAAGATATTTAATATGAATCTTTTGAGATGCTAAAAAAGATTTCCAAGATGATCATCTTTACACCACCAACTTCTATAGTAATACCTCTTTCAAGGATATTTTATAGACCTTCAACAATCCTTTATCAAGACCAATGATTTAAAAATATATTTAGCTTTCCATCATTTAAATTCAGTGGAATCATCCATTGAATATGGTAGAAAAAGCCATGTGATATTTTTCATGTGGCACTTAATTCCTTCTTGAAGAAGAAATATAATTTTCTTATTGGATCATTATTTGCGCCACTGTTAAGTGTTAAGCACATACCATGCTCTGATACCAATTGAAGGTGTGAAAAGTACACAAGAAGGGGGTTGAATTGTGTTTCACGTTTTCTTTAACTTAGCTTATGATCAGAGTTTCAGAATCAAAACTAGTGTTCAAATTTTATTTTAATTCATTTGAAGTGGATATAAAAAAGTAAATAAATAATAGCAGAAGACACAAAAGATTTATCATGGTTCCTTCCTTAATTGAGAGTACTTCAGTCCCCTTGCCTGACAAGACATTTTCATTATAACTACTTTATGATTACAATCGCTTATGCTTCTGCATAAGTCTTTTACACTTACTTAAACAAATTGTCTGAGACTTTCCTTGCTTATAGCACATGTCTAAGACTTCACTTGCCCACACCTTCTGACCGAGCCACCTGCTTCAAAGGTCTTCTGGTTGAGACTTGTCCTTGCTTAGAGCATATGTCTAAGACTTCTTTCTCACCTGACTGAGCCACCTATTCTTCTGGCCATCCAGACTGAGACTTCCTTGCTCAAGCAGCACTTGAGACTTCCTACTCACACCTCTTAGATGGAGACTTTCCCTTGCTCAATCAGAGTAGATGAATAAGACTTTCATAAGTCAAGTACTTAAGCAATGAGACTTACATGGCTTAAGCATTTTGGCTCAAGACTTGTTGCTTAAATCCTAATGAAACAAGACTTCTGCTCAAGCACATAGCAAGAGACTTTGATCTAAGCTACTGAAGGCTCAGCAGAATACAGAACAAGGTGTACATGAGATAAGTATCAGAGGTACGGGAAATCACCATAAAAATACCTAAAGCTCTTAAGATTTCTAAGATATTCAATGGTAAGAAATCTTAAGGCTTTTACAGTTACAACCTACAACTAAAAATCTGCATATTATAATAGAGTTGATAATTGTTGGATCTTGCTACTCCTTCATATGAAGAATCCTTATTAAGATTCAAACTTGAATCTTAAGTCATTTTTATAGCCTCTGCAGAAACTAGACGTTGAAGAGGTAACTTGATCAAGTGTCTTTTCCTTTACTCTATAGTAAAAGAGACGTTGAAGATGGATGCATAGTAGATTCTGAATCCAGTGTGTAACATGTTTAACCTTTGAGTCTCCAAGAGGTTTTATACTGATAGAGTTGTTGAGAGAAGATAACCGTAGAGCATGTCAACCTTTCTTGAGCCTTGCAATCTTTTAGATTCTAGATGACTAGCTGATAAGACAATACAACTTGCTTTCTACAGTACGGACAACCACAACTTGCTATTTGCAGATGCTAATATACAATTACCAAGTGTTATAACTCGTCTGAATGTTGATGCCTTCAGCTTAGAGTCTACGCCAAGCCACACTAGCAATTGTTCTTCAGACTCTGCCACCAGAAGCTAGCAATGAAACACTTCCTAAGTGTGTTCATGTAACACAGATTCTAATTATTTATATACAATGATGTAGAACCTGCATAAATAAAACACACATTAAATAAACTATTGTTCTTTCAATCCTTTTTCATCATCAAAACTAAAACAGAATATGTCATGAACAAATCTTGTTCTAATGGATTTAACCTTCTTTGATTCAAACATGCTAATGAATGATCATCTGATCATCTTTGGCACGTTGTATCAAAGATAGGTTATCCCTTATTTGGTCATGCTTTGAGTCATTTGACTTGTTGATAGATGATCCCTATGTAATTGATTGAGCCTTCATTGTATTCTTTCTATCATCTCTTTCCTTTCTTCTTTTGTTTGACTATTGTGTTACATTGTTTTAGAAGGAGGATTTTTCATCATCTCTTTAACATGTATGACACATAAATTGTTACTTAACGGCCTCAGATATGTGTGACTTCTACATAAGTCCAATAACGATTGCTTAACATAGTGCTAAATTATCCCGACTCGGTTGATTTCTTATTAATAATAACATTCACATATTAATTGTGCTAACATCTAACATTTACTTTTATGCTCTATACATTGATGTCATTTACATTTTTTTATGTCGTTTACATTCATGCCATTTTGCATTCTTGCCTTTTATTTTTACTCTTTACTTTATGCTTTATTGCTTTCTTATTTCAAAAGAACAAAAACACTATTAAATGGGTAAAACCCTAAAAAACTTTAATTTGATCTTCTGGACTTTGTGTTACTATCCCTTGCTTGAGGAGCAATTTGGACTTTGGACCTTAGGTCTTAGTGCTTTTCCCTTGCTTGGAGTGGTATCTGAGACTTGATGATTCATCTGAGACTTTGTGATTCATCTGAGACCTTTAAATCTTCAACTCAAGACTTGGATATTATTTATGAATTTGTGGTTCATCTGGATCTTTTGATATTCATTTGATCATGTTACCTATGCATCTTGTGGCTCAATCCAAAGGGAAAGGAATGCTTGTTTTGACCAATGTCAAATGCTTGCTTCATCTGGTAGTTAGTACACTTTTACACACAAAAACTTTCTCTTGGGCTACTTTACAATGAGACTCTTTTACTTTATGCTTTAGGATAGTCTCTTCATCTCCTTCCCACTTTGTAAATTTTCAAAACTTCTCGCTATTTCAAAAACTTCCTGTTTTCAAACTTCACACCTTTTTCTTTATAAACCTTGACTTTTGTCAAGTGATTCAAAAAATATTTTCTTTAATAAATGATAATACACTTAAGCATATTCAAACTCTTTTCAAAATCTCTAAAAAAGACAAACCACGTCAAACTTCTTTTTGCGCCTTTGTGCACTTTTCTTTAAGGTCCTTTTTAAAAAAATATTAGATATTAGTATATTCTTATAGTGATAGAAACCACTATACTTATACAATATATTGAGAAATGATTTATATTTTCCACTTGAAGGTTGAGACGTACTTGTGAGAAAGTCCAAGTAAAAGTTATCCATATCAAGATGATGCAAATTCTCACTTCCTCATACTTGTGGGTAGTAAGTTGAATTTTCCACTCGAATATAACAAAATATCTTTTCAATTAAAATAAATCAACAAACAACCTAGCTTTTTATAAACACAGATTTGCAAATGGTTCCAATGGAGTACCATATATGTGTGGGGCGCTAATACGTTCTCCTTGCATAATCAACCCCCGTATCCAGATTTTTTTTCTTTTGTTTGACCTTTTGTGGGTATTATTCGACCTTTTCACTTTTTCTCTACTATGGAAACAATAAAGTTCGGTAACAACTCTTGTTTTTCGAGTTAACTTAATTGATAACTTAATATCAATAATTTTTCCCGCCGCGACACTAACCAAGTATACTTGCAAAATCGGATGGAATAACGTGTCCCAAGCTTTGCGGAAGTTGCCTTGGAAAACCAGTTACACATATTAGGACCCTCAAAGAGCATACCAGTTACGTTTTTCCACCAAAACGATCAATAATTTCCCATTAGCACACTAGGATCATCCTTCATTTGAGCTTGCACATCTCCATAACAAAATGATAGAATCTTAAACTAGAATAAATTAGTTTTGGTGAGGACTCTCCACTTCCATTTACTAAGCAATGCCAAGTTAAATTTCCTACAATCTTTAACCTCTAACTCTCCCTATTTTTTCGGTTTGCAAACTGCCGACCAACTCACCCAATTAATCTTCTTATTGAAATCTCCTCCACCCTTTAAAAAATATCTCTAAAGTTTAACTATATCTTGAATCACCCCATTGGGTGCTTTGTAGAATGAGAATTAAAAAATTGGGAGATTCGTCAAGATGGCATTTAACATCACCACCCTGGCTCCTATAGACATTTTCTTTCCTTTCTACTTGGCTAGTCTCTTATTCACCTTGTCAACTAAATGAACCCAAGTTTCCTTCCTACTAGGGTTAGCTCCCACTTGAATGCCCAAGAAATTAATAGGAACTAAACCGACAACACACGCCATAAAGTTTGAAGTATCCCTCAGAACACTCGCTTGGAGATTAATCCCATAAAACTTACTCTTATTCAAATTCATAAGCCCCGATGCAAGTTCGAAACCATGCAAAACAACCTTAATAGTCCATAAGTTATTTAACTTACCATCACAAACCAAAATCATATCATCGACAAATTGAAGGAGTTTGATGTGCAAATAATCATTGAACCTGAATCCTTGGAATTTGTCATGAGACACCACATTCCTCATTAACCCTGCCAAACCTTTTGCCGCTATAAGGAACAAAAAAGGTGAAAGCGGGTCCCCTTGCCTAAGACCTTTATAAACATCAAAGTCCGTCGTAGGGTTGCCATTGATTAAAACTGACATGGAACTAGTGAACACCATCATCTACATCCATTTAAGCCATCTAGAACCAAAGTTCATTCTTCCAAGCACATACTTCAAGTAGTCCCACGCAACGCAATCATAAGTTGTGGTAGAATTCACTTTCACTAAAAGACATCCCCTACTTTTATTTCCGCCAAAATCAATGATTTCGTTAATTGCAAGGACCCCGTCCATCATAGCTCTTTCGGGAATGAAAGCGGATTGGTGAGTCGAAATCAACTTGCTCATCACATTTCTCAGTCTATTAGATAAAATCTTTGAAACAATCTGATAAAGCGACCCAATGAGAGAAATAGGCCTGAAATCCTTTAAGCATTGAGGATTGGAACTATTTTTCTTTAGTAGTTGATTTAATCCTTAATTTTATATAATGCATTAAATTTAATATGCTATTTTAAGAGTCTTGTTTGTTGTAATTTTAAAAAATAATAGTTTTTTTTGCATTTTTAAATTATTTTTATAAATATGTTTTTTAAAATATTAAAGGTTTTTAAATTTGTTTGATATAAATTGAAAGACTATTTTCGACATTCTATAACGTAAACATTTATTATTGAAGATCAAAATATAATTGAAATCATAATTTAAAAATAATTATATTTAAAAAATAATTTTTATAAAATGTAATTTTAAATAGCTGATTTTTAAAAAATTTCAGTACTACAAAATACACATTTGGTAACATAATATTACTACGGTCAAGTCTTCCACCATTGTGATATCTGAATCTGCATGCGCCTATTGCTTATTTATTTTTTTGGAAGTTATTTAATCACGGTTAGTAGACACAACCATGGTGATAAAGTGAGTGGTACAAGGTTTGAATCCTGACAACTACATTTTTTTCCATTTTTCTATTACAAAAAGTGTGTGTCACTTAAGTTCATAAATAAATAAATAATTGAAAATTATTTAATCACAAAATTAATATGCAATCGTTGTTATATATGTACAATATTTGCTCTTCCCGAAAGAGAGAAACGCTCTTCCCAACTATAATGATGATTGAAAATTTTCTTCATTTTTCAAGACGGTCACAATGTCATTTAAGAATATCAATCATTGGAAGTAATCATTACAAGCATTAAATCATCACATGTTTCATCTTCAACCTCTTCTATAAAGGCACAGTTTCATATAACGAATTTCCACTTCTTTAAAACTATTCTTCTTAATTACATATAGCAACATGAGTTCTCCATCTGAGAATGTTAACAGAAATACCTCAACTAAAATCACCACAGTACAACACCATGATCAGCAGTCAACTGAGGAGGTCCAACCATTTGGATCGACTGCTGTTAGGGTTAAGAAGGCCAAGAAGAAGAAGCTGAAGAAGAAAAAAAAAAGTGCCCAGGAAGATTTGTTACTATAATTCTGACAAGGATAGTGAGGAGAGACTCATAGACTATGAAGATTCCTTTGCTGCTAGGGGATATTGTTCCGACATTGACAAAATTATGTCATGAAATTATTTATGTACTCTTCCCTCTTGGCCCTCTTAGTGAAATTAATTATTATTGTTTTATATAATCTTTCATTCATACACTATTATTGTTTTACACAAAAAAATTGTACAAGCCAACAAAAAGAACAACAACAATTGCAACAGTAATGAAAAATAACAAAATTGAAAGTTATTTAACCACAGTTTTACAAAAGAACTGTTGTAAAAGTAATATATTATATCATGGTTTTTTTTCTAATCGTGATGACAAGTGATATTTTTTACTATATAAGCGAAAGTATATATCACTCAGTATATAACAATCGTTTCTCCCAAATAAAAATCCTAACATATTTCACTCTTCTCTCGAATAACATAATCCTTACATTAATGTCACTCTTTAAACTTTCTTAAACCTTCAGATTCGTCTTCACCAATTGCTATGATACTCTTTAATCATATTTCATGTTCGTTCATTAAACTTATGATTCGATTTCGTTTACATTTCTTGTTTAAAATGAGTTCTCATTCTTTTATTTGTTGAATGTTCTCATTTTTTCAGATTCGTCTTCACCACCTTAACAAAGCGTATACTTTGGCTATGATACATATGGTTTGTGTAGCTATGAAGAAAAATACAAGAAGTATGAAGTTGTTGTGTTAACTTCATTCACCTTGTACTTCTTCTTCAAAGCTTCATAAACTATATGAAAATCATAATTTGTTCCAAATTCACAATTAGTTTTTAAAAAATGTGCGTTCTTTAAAAAATACATAATATCTTGTGTTATTGTATGTTGTTGTTGTTGTATGTTAATATTGTTGTTCTTGAACCTTATTTTGTTGTATGTTGTTGTGTTATTGATAAATATTGTTGTATGTTGTTGTTGATTAATGTTTTAAAAACAAGAACAAAGCATTGCTAAGTCACAAGAAATTAGCTTCTTGTGACTTAGCAATGTTTTGTTTTTTAAAATTTTAAAACATTACATAATATCTTGTGTTGTTGCATGTTGTTGTATGAAGTTGAGTTAATTACATGCTATGTAGATTGTTTGTTTCACTAACCCTTCACTGAAAATACATTTTATTTAAATTGACATAGAAACTTATAATCTAAAAATTAAGTTGTATTTGAAAATCAAATTATATCAATCAATATTTTCAGAATTGCATTCTTTTCATTGTTCATCTCACACTGTTTAACATATAGAATGTGGGTCAATGACATGATTCCTTCATCACAGCCATATATTCTCCTATAGTTTAATTTGAATGACAACAATTTATTGATATTATTTAAATTAAAATAAAATAAAAGGAATTGATGTCATGAAGAACTTATATCATTGAACCACATTCTATATGTTAAACAGCATGAGATGAATGATGAGACAGATGCAATTTGGAAAACAATGGCTTGTTTTAGTTGGCTTTCAAGAATATTTTAATTTTTAGATTATATACTTCTTCATCAATTTGAATGGGTATATGTTGTTGTGAGGTTTATTGAAAAACAAGCAATCTACATATTATATAATAAACTCTATGTACTTTCAACAACGGTTATTTATATTAACTGTTATGAAATGTTATTTGTCTAAATGTATATACCACAACGGTTACCTATATCAATCATGATCATATATCGCGCGCTTTCAGATTTTCCACAACAATTATAAGACCGTGATTGTAAGTAGAGCATATACAACCACACCATACGTAAAAACGGCAGATCACGCATAATGTTATCCCTTTAGCAATAGGTGTTGTATATATATTTCGTAATAGTGTTTGATTTTAAAAAAATTATAATAAAATAATAAAATATCTAAAATATTTTTTAAAAATAACAATTGAAACTAAATTTTCATTTGAATAGTAATAGTCGTCTCATAATATATATATATATATATATATATATATATATATATATATATATATATATATATATATATATATATATATATATATATATATATATATATATATATATATATATATATATATATATATATATATATATATATATATATATATATATATATATATATATATATATAAAGAATGGATATGTAATTATGAGAAATTTTCTTTTAAATTTATTATATATTTATTGGATAAGAGTATAACATTATTGTACACCATTAGTGTAGTACCTTTAATATCACGTAATGATTAGTTATCCGATTTTATTTGCGTATTTATATTAATTGGTTTGTCAGTTACAGGTTTCATTTCAGTTCACAGTTGGATTGCTTTAATCATGTATTATTCGACATACAAATATTAAAGAATATACGTTTATAGTTAAACATCTTATTATGTATGCAATATACTATAATTACACGGAAGGGTTGAGTACAGATCTTTTATTTTTTTTAAAACAAAAAGCAATATACTATAATTACACGGAAGGGTTGAGTACAGATCTTTTATTTTTTTAAAACTAAAAACTAAACTATGTTTGGAAGACGCACGTCAGATGATTTGTACATGATTATATTTTAAAAATAAAATATATCTTTCTATAAGGTGGTTAAGGAATATTTCGGGTATCTTGATTAAAGTTATAAGACAGTGACATGTGTCTCTCGTACTTGATCACATTTTTTATTATTAAAAAACCATAAGCATAGCTTTATATAAAATATTAGCATTAAATCCAATTAATCTTAACTTTGTACTTGATGATTGTTAGTTGCTAGCCATATGGTTCAACAAGATCTCTTTAATTCGAATATTCAATTTAGAATTTTATCCGTTTAAAAATTAAATAAATAGACTTTTACCAAGAGTCTACATATCCGAATTGGGCATTGTACTCGTCGCAACAATTGGAATCAATTTAACAGTCTTTTGCATTTGACCTTGCGTCCACTGAGAGTGGTTTTAACCATCCTTCATATATGAACATGATTTGGCGTCATATTTAAGTATGATTCATTTCATTACTACATGTTACACTTCTCTGACCTCAATGATTTGTACGCTGGAGTGTTAATATCCCAGGTACACCCCCTTCCTACCTACTAGAGACTCTTGTCATCGTACTTGAGAGGTACAACGACATACTTCATAAAAACATCACTTATCTCCTATTCCAAAACAGAATAGTGGCACCATATGTGGAAATCGTCTATGGATTCTCACAAAAATCAACGCCGAAATCCTATAATCTTCTCTATTACACCGCTGCAACCGTTCTTGGTAATCAATCATATTACCTCAAACTTTCTTAACCAACAATGATAGCTTCAAATTCAAATCGGTCAGCCGCTCATCATAAACTCATTCGTGCAACCGATACTTCCGTATTGGTCATTGTTTCCACTCGTGAAGATACTTCATCTCCCGCTAAGAGAGATGACCCGATTCTCGTGACACTCTGACTATTTTGTCTCCCCTGATTCCAAGGTCAAACATTGAAACAACCTTCACTGCAAACACAAACATTTGAACTGGAAATGTCTTAGAACCTTTAACAACTCCAAGCCACACTCGGGATACATGAAGCATATGAAGTCATAACAAGCATCTACAACCTAGTACAGTAATAGAGCGAATATCTTGTGGATGAGAGACTGATATGTATAGAATAAAATCAACAAAGAGCTTCGCTACGAGATACTACACAGTTGTAGGTGTAACAGCCCGAATTTCATTAAATAATTAATTATAGTAATTAATTGATTTAGTGGGATTTTAATTAATGTTGGAAATTAATTTTTATTAATTGGAATTAATAGAGAATTGAGAAGGAAATTGGAAGGAAGAAAAA